TGTGAAGTTTCATGACCTTGAGGAACAAGGACGCCGGACAGTAGGGTTGGTTATCGACTACAGGTCTTTTAACTCCCGGATAATTTTAAATTCGGCCTGCGTCTAGGGTTCCCAAACTGTAGGCTATGCACTTCTTACTTAACACTTTGACTGCGACGTGCGCCATATATGGTACACATCTAGGCCTAAAGTAATGCAGGTTTGAAAACGCCGCCCCAGGGGCATACAGGCTATTTTGAGAGTCGCAGTCAAAGTGTTCAGGAAAATCATGCGTTTTTCTATGATACTAACGCGCCAAAATGGTTCATAAAATTGTCAAATGGATATGAATCTTTTAAGAGAGATATGATGCTGAGTGAATGGAGGTTTTACGGCCTTAAAATTCCCATAATTGCAAACTTCTTTAAACAGAAAGATACCCTTCCTTCGGATATAATACTTGAAGAAAACTAATATACTTCGAAGTAAGTGCAAGAAAGAATACTTTTGTGCATGTTTTGTAATAACTATATTTGAATTTGCAAGTGCACTGAAGACAAGTAGAAGTATTGTTATTATTTAGATAGCCATTGTTGGGCCGGTATGGTTCGTACAGACGGCCTAAAAACTGCATTCTAAAACCGGCATTCTCGTTGGGCTGCAATATATTTGGATTACGCTATGCAACAATCCCACCTAATTAATCCTTTCTAAGCGATAATAAATTTCAGGATTTCGACTAAGGCTATCTACTGTAAGTCTAGGAAACCCCTTGCTTTGGTTTTAACCCAGGTGGTCTCGCAAAAAAAGTATTCAAGCAACTAGAGTCTAAAGTAAGCCTCTCGCGATACGAGTAGCACTGTGAGCCGAAAATAAGTGGACGTACCACAGAGTCACAGCGCAGTTTAAATATGGATGCACTACCTAAAGGGGGTGGGAGGACATTGCTGATTACAGTACACAGCATGTACTCGACTAAGTCTCACGCACCCAGCACACGCTGTACTTTTCAATCAGACGAAAAGGTTCGCAGAAATGGAAGTAGACGTAGGCGCGAGTAGAAATGCTGACCTCACAAAACTGCACTTTACCCGTGCTGCTCTTCCACCCTAAATGAATCAAGCATCATGCCTTTGGAAAAAATACCAATGAGTTGCAGTAAGATCGCACTAAAAAGGAGCCATTGTAGCCTGGTCCCGAGCCCCAGAGGGAATCGAATTAACCCCCACCCC